TCTCTATAATATTTTCGATGAGACATCAGCACATCTTTTAAATTGCCAGATTTCATGCAAAAATAGCATATTCTTCTAAAATTTACATTCATTTCATAGATGTTTATTTACATATAGATCACAGATTTGTGCTTTCCACACATTGGAAACCAAAGATTATCTTTTCAAGTTGATTCGATTCATTCCAAGAAAACTGAAGCTATTTTCTGATATATGCACTAATAATTTAATCCAAAGAAACAGGATTTTATTGTTATTCTTACCAGCCATGTACCATAAAAACATTTGCAAAGGATTTTCTGCTTCTCTTTCATGTAAAATACATTCATGTTTCAGTTCAGGCTTTTTTATTTTTCCTCCAAATATGATTAGGCCTGAGTGAAACTTTAAATTTTACTTTCATAATCTCATTGATCCTTTGGAGGAAAGGCTGTCTTAGTAGTATATATTTATAATGTAAAACTATGCAATATTTTTTAAGTCTGTAGGAATGACCCATTTCTCTTGAGAGAGATCACTCCCATCTCTTATTCACTCCTGCATGTTCTTCACTCAACAAGATTGCAAACTGATGACATCACAGAGCAAATACTCTAATACAAAGTTTCTTGTATGTCACTCAAACTTCCACTGGACATAATTCACTTATGCAACTGCAAGTTATTAAGCAATGAACATCCACCTATTAATGGCTGCTTTTGTGATGACCAGGATTTCATAATCACCATGAACCCAGTTTTAGTTGACTGGTATATGGATTCAGCCTAATAAATTAATCCCATCATCCTTACCATTGCTTCTGATGATATATTGTACAACATATTAATAGCATCTTAGACTCAAATTATTAATGTTGGCACCAACTTTCTAATCATGAACAATTAGAACTTTTCCAAGAGATCCAACATCAACAGTTGTAATGTTACACTAGTCATACATACTTACTGGTTGGTACAAATAGTGCAATTCAAATAAATCTGGTATTTAACTGAATGCAAATGTATTCCTTTGAACACCAACAGCTCAGGCTATGCATGGTTACTTAATAAGATATTTTGCATATGCCATAATTTTTAAAATAGGACCATGCGAGCAGAGAAAATCACTTGGGAACTTCCAACGCACTTGCTGTCCACCTGAGATCAAGTTCAGCAACAGGTAGGAAGGATTTATATGGGCTCAGCTACGTGCTGCCAAACCTTAAATGTGGTAACAATGGTGAATAAAGACATTAGTAAGCAGCATTCAGCCTCCACAGGTGGCAGCATCTAGTCAACCTTAGCTGATCTCAAATAAGCTAATTAGGGTTGGACCTGGTTAGTACATGAGTTAGTGAACACCAGCAAGTGTCAAGGCTGTAGGCTAGCCTGGGAAGTCAAAAAAACATCCTTCAATGGAATGGCAAACCATTGTATTGTTGCCAAACATGCTATACAGATGGCCCTTGGTCACCTGGGGTTGAGCTCAACTTCAGGGGTTTTAACAAAACAAAACAAGGAGCACTCATGCTAGTTCCAGAAGGTGTGCACTGCATCTAAAGTTCAATATTTTCTAAATCTAGGTATAAAACACCAGTGCCAATTACTGTACAGAATGGACAACTTGTGGGTTGTGTATAGTCCCCCTAGCATCTCCAGATTGTGCTTTAGAGCTTCAGTGTTTAGTTTTTAGACTTGGTGTAACACACCTATTTTGCACACTAGCTCCATCTCACAAAAGAGGCTTGCCTTCCCATTACTTCCATATAACTGCAATATCCAGCAGATCCTAACCAGAAAAAAATTAATATTGAAAGTTTAGCCCCCAGCTGCAAAAAGTCACTCGTGCTGTACTAATAATATTCAGGCTAGTGGCCATAACTCCCTAACCCTCAGTGTTCCAATTTGCCTAAATTTATGAAGTGACTAGGAGTAGAGTTTGACTCAAAGCAGACTTTTACCTTTTGACCCTTCACTTGCATAGAAATATAAGAATATCCTGCTGGTTCAGACCAAGGCCATCTTAGTCCAGCATGTGATACTCCTAAGGTACTCACAAGCAGGAGATAAATACATACCCCTTTCCTGCTTCTGTTCCCCTGCAACTAGTATTTGGAGACATGCTGCCCTGAAATCAGAGGGAACATTTGACTCCTCAAAACTGACAGCACTTGATAGACTTGTCCTCCATGGATATATCCAATCCTCTTTTAAAATCAATCCAATTTAGCCTATCTCTTGTAGTAATGAATTCCTTAAGTGAATGATTTGCTATGTGAAGAATTGCTTTTATCTGTTCCAAATCTTCTTCCAATCAACTTCATAGGATGTTTCCTACTCTAGTGATTTGAGAAAGAGAGAGAGAAAACCATTCTCCCTGCCTCCCTCTCCATGCCATGAATGATTTTGTACACCTCAATCAATCATTCCCCCTTCTTCCTAAGCTAAATATTTTCAATGTTCTAATCTTTATCATAAGGAAAGTGTTTGAGCCCCTGATAATTTTGGTTACCTTCTGCACTTTTTCCAGCTCCATTCTAGCCTTCAGATGTGACCAGAACCATGTACAGGCAGTCCCCAATTTAAGAACGAGTTCCATTCCCAAGGTCTGTCCTTAAGTCGAATTTGCATGTAAGCTGGAACAGTGTTATTGTATAATACTGTATAAGTAGTATCATGTAATGAACTCGAACCATCATGTATTTAACTCTAACCATTATGTAATTTTGCTACAATGGTCTCTGTTCTTAACTATGGGTTGTCTATAAACCAGGTATTCTTAACCTGGGGACTACCTGTACAGTATTCCAGATGCAGACATAACCATAGGTTTGTATAAGGATATTACAGTGTGCAGTATTGGCAGTTCTATTTTCAGTCCCTTTGTTAATGATCCCTATGATGGAATTTGCTTTTTTCACAGCTGATGAACAGTGATTTGACCTTCACTGAGCTATCCGTTGGCCCCAAGATCTTTTTCCTGGTTAGTTACAGACAACTCTATTTAACATATTTTCCTGCATGCTGATCCTGAATACAGTGCACAAAGCTTAATCACTGGACTGGGAGGATTTTCTAAGATTTTCTTTAAAACACTTCCAGTAATTGCTGGGGGAGGAGAGGATGTACAACTGAAACAAATGTATTACTTTTTAAATAAATAAGCATAATTAAGCAAGCAAGCAATTCCTCTTGATAAGAATATTTTAAAATGTTGCTTAATTTATTATTTAAATCAAGATTTTATTCAGATGGATTATACCCAACATATCCCTAGGTACTTTTTAAATAATGGTAAGGCTTTAATAAATATATTAGATTGTACTTATAATTCTAAGTAAAAGAGGTCATGACAGACATTTCTGGCAGTGCTAATTTTATGTAATCGAAATAATATAGAGTTTAGTGTGTATGCCAGTTTTCTCAAAATATTAGTTCTTGGGAAGTGAACATTAAAATAATTATTTCCAAGCAGTACAGCAATCTAGCTAAAAAGGGTACAGGTATGATATATTTCTATATCTTCCTGCAATGAATATATAAAAAATAAGAGTCTCCATTATCTACTATAAAATTACAGCTTACGTTTGGATCTACATTACTGGAACTACTAGCCATTTTTCAACGTAGACTGAAGAAACTATACCAGCCTGTCCCAAACTGGACATATGCTAAACTCCAGCTCTCATAATCCCCAGACAGTATGGCTAATGACATCTACTTGGGGAATCTCTACAAAACCATATTAGTCTTCACTGTCTGCACTGATCAGTTTAGAGGACACAGCTGGACAACATATTCTGAAGTATGAAGTAAAATCTTTGTAGTTAGGCAATGAGGAGAAAGGGAAGGCATTGGAAAACACATACAGGGCACACACACAAGCTCAACAAGGCTAGAAACCTGTAGCCTTCCATATCTTGCTGAGTATCAACTCCCCAAGTACCTCAGCAGGCTTTACATGATTGAGACTGTCTAGAAAGTCAAGATGCTGGGCTGTAAAGCGATGCAAAGGAAAAACAGGCGCTCGATCCCCCATTCTTCTGCTAAAGATCTGGGGAAAAATATCTAGACTCTAGAATAGGAGGCATAAACATAAAAGATACGCAGTGTGTTCATACAAACTAGGTTTTCTTTTATAAATCTTAGTTGGGTAGCTGCCAAAATAGAAGGCAATCAACATCTTTCAAGAAGTGTGTCCAGTAAACAATCTTGCTCATTTTGAAAAGTGTGAGGCCCTATAGTGACAATCACAGGTTCATATTCATCTAGCATGTGGCACTAGGTTCAGTAATATTTAATCCATATGAAATACAAGTTATTCCTATGTGTGAACTCATTACCCCCAATCAATTTAATTTTTGTATTGCAGAGCATGACAGCTGCCATTTAAAGAACAATTACACAATTCCAGCTTTCAGTTCTGTATCAGGTTAATAGATTTATTTGTGGCTTTGAGCATCAAAGAATATTTGAGGTAGACTACTAGCCTTTGTCAGATATCTCCCTGGAATTTTAAGAGCTCAGTTGCAACGAGGAATTCTTGGTTACATATGCACTCAGCGGTAACTGGGAGGACAGACTGTTAAAGAAGATGCGTGCATGATGTATACCTGTGAATCAGGGCAAGAACCTCCTGCTTCTAAAGAGTTCTTAGTAGTACCCATCCAGAGAGACATCTGGAAATCCTATAGATCACATGGCTGAATCCAGGTTTAGAGGAGCGTCACACAAAAAGCAGATTTCTTTTCTGTTTGCTAAGGGAGTTTTGCACGCATTAATCAAGAAAGGCCTGTCAAATACGTTCAAGAAGGAGTGGAACTTTTAAAAAGTTAATGGTTGTCTGTGCAATCTTCTAGGACCTAGAACTAGATGGCAAAAGTATTACTCAGGGACCGTGTCTTCAGACAGCAGAAGGCTCACGTGGAAAGTCAGATGCTTTTTCACTTCAACTGCATCCTTCCCATTTTCAAAATTATCCTAATGTTGCTACAGAGCACATTATTCTGAAGAGCCTTCCTGCGCTGTCAGATGGAGATGCTTGAATAAAGCTGTTCTATTTGTTTCTTGAAGTATTCTCTCAGCTCTGGTCTCCTGGCTTTTAACGTGGGTGTCAACAGACCATTTTGTACGGAGAACATTTCAGAGTGGATGTAAATAGCTTTAACCTGAAATTTGAAAAATGAAATAACATTATATAGCTATAAAAAGATCAAAAAGGAAAATAAAGCTAAATCCTTATCTGAAAACTCCACTTGGTTGCCTCCTGCTGATAAACATGGATAAAGTATGGATTTCATCAGGCAAATCAAACATAACTTACAGCCTTTCTAACATAAATGACATTCAGATCAGATTGACAAAATATGAATATGCTTTTCTTTACTCTGGCTTCATGTGTTGTGCAGAGGTGTCCTGCAGTTCGTGCTTTATTTTTATTGTATATCACTGACAGATCTTTGTAGTTGGCCATCACTTTTTTTAAAAAGGTGAGCCCAACCATTACTTTCCTTTTAGGTGAGATATGAATCCATTTCAGACTGTTTAACTTAACTTTATTTTGTTACTGATTTGTACCTTTTCATTTAGGAAGGTGTATTCTTTTCTGTGAGTAAAGGCTATTAACCATGGAAGGCTGTTCCTGAACACATATGTATTATTATTATCATTATTATTAAAATTTATTATAGCTGCCCAGAGTCTATGAGAGTGGGTGTCTATAGTACATTTAAATAAATCAATTGAAAATGAATTTAAACAATAAAACAATAAAAATTAATTTAAACAATAAAAAAAACATTAAAAACATAAAAATCCATAGGCAGCCTGGACTAAAATAATTGAACAATGTCGAGTTACTTGTGACCTGCTACTTCATACTCCCCCCAAATCAAGAAGGCTTCGTATAGTTACTTTAAAGGCCTGAACTTTAAAACTTATCTTCATTTATCGTACATGTTTTAATGTTACATGGTTTGGGTTTATTGCTTGTTTTTTGTGCTGTATGCCACCCAGAGTCACATTGTTTGAGTTCTTATAAATACTTACAGTAACTTATAAATCTAGTTACTGTAATAAATAAATAATAAATTTGGCTTGTGCTTTCACTTGGTATTTCAAATATACATTTTGAATTCACAGACTTTTAAAAATACGTTTAAACATCAAAAATAACAAAATGTTCCGTTGCCTGAGAACAATTTAAAGATATTTTTATCCTCCCACTTGCTGCCATAGGACTGTCACAGGAAAACACATGCTTGTTCAATATTAAAAATACTTCCAGTTTTTAGCATTGAAGCTAGTTATATGTCCAGTAGTTATCTTTCTCTGGTCAGTGAGAACTGTTGGTAAATGATAGCAACACGTTTTTCAAAGCTTTACTTCTGGAAGCATCTTAAGAGAGCTTTATAGCTAAACAAGGTGTTCTCTTGACTTTTTAAAAAGCACGCAGCATGTACTTTATAGGAGACTGCATCTGTTTTCAGAAATAACTATTTAATGATCAGGGACTGCAGAAACTGGGCCCAGTGATGTACCCAGTTCTAGACCTCAGAAATGCAGTTCGGAGCCCAGCAGCCAAGAGAGATGAGGAGGGCGTTATGACCACCCAGAGCAGGCAGGGGATGTGAGCAGTGGCACTCAGGAGCAGCATCAATATCTGGGATATATAGGCATGCCGAGCCCAGAGGGGGCTGAATGTTTGCTATAACATCCTTTCACGCTAGGGGAAAGGCAGCTGGGCAGATACATAATTATAGATATTTTTACCAATAGTACATTAAGTACACTATTCTTTTTCACTGTGCCTATACCCAAGCAATGTACGTAGCTGTGTAAATGGAGAGCTCCATCAGATAATTAAGTTCCAGAAATGCAATTGATCAAACTTTACCACTAATGGGCATAACGGAACTGATGGCTTTTTGATGGCTCTATGTTGCATTGTGGCTAGTAAATATGGTGGATCATGGTGGCAATCTATAGATAGTCCAAAGCATGCTAGAAAAATAAAGGGTGGAACACCCATGACTACAATTACCAGGAACTGAGTGCATCTTGTCTAAAATCAGCACATACAAGAGTGAGAGGTTCAGCATAAAAACAGAGTTGGCAATTGTTGTACACTGCCCAGAGTCACATTGTTTGGATTGGGTGGCCTTATAAATCTAATAAATAAATATATCCAACCCTCTGCTCAGTACAAAGATCCAAATGAAACCATCTTTGACATACTGTATGCTTGTCTAATCTACTCCTGAACACATCTAGGGAAGAGGAACACATTATTTCTCGGGAACTGGTTAATTGTCCTTATCTACCATGTTGAACTTTAATCTGCACTGTTAAAAAACATTTCCTTTGGTATGGTGAGGGACTACAGTTTAAAAGTTTGGTTTAAAGGTGTCATCAGATATCACATTTGTTGCTTCCATTGAGAGGCACCACTGTTGGGCTGGGCTTAGGGCATCAGTTGGCCTTGATCCAACCCTGGGCGCCATGCAATATATTTTGTGGAACTCAGGCAGCTTGTAAATTTAATAAATAAACATAAATTATGACAGTGATGAAATGCAAGACAGCAGAACCGTAGATTCTGACAACCATCCATGCAATTTTGTATATGTCTATTTAGGAATAAATCCCACAGAATGCACCCAGACATCCTGTCAGGTAAGTGTGTATGGGATTAGATCTCAAGGGTCTTTTCAGTAAGTTCCCCTTTCACTCCCCTATGGGCATACAGTGCCCATTAGCAAACTTCTCCTGGTTGAGTTTTGTAAGTCTGTTACAAAAATATCTATGCACATAGCAGAAGATTAGTGTATGCAGAGAACAAAAAGAACTGTTGTATTTTCTAGGTCAGCTATAAGAATTAAAGGCCTGAACTCCCTTCCCAGAACTGCTCTCAGCTTATTTTAATATGTGTTATCTATTACAAGAGATTTATTGAAAGTAACTCTTATATAATCTTGAGATGAAGATATTTTAATAGAAATAGAAATGTCCGTGAATATATGGCTGAACCACAAAGTACAGTGATGTGTGTAAGGTTTTATATAATGCATGCTAAAATTCCCTTCTATTCGCCCCAAAAAAGGAGTTCATCTCATCTTAGTCATCAAAGCTATTTATTTTCAGCATTTACCTGTTCAAATGAATGAAGTCCACTCTCTTTTCCTAAGTGCACCATATCTTCCATTATAGCTTTTTCCAGTTCCTAAATAAGAACATAAGAAATATCTATTTATAGCCATGAACTTCAATTTAGCAACAAGAAAATAATCATAGTAATGTTCAAGTACTTTCCCCCTTTTTATGTGCTTGTGTGCTAGACAGGTAGCAGTGAAGGAGAGATGGAATGCCACAATGAAAAAGGTATGTACTGCTTCAAATCCCACCTATTCTGGACTCTGGTTCTCCAAATTCTTAATTTTGGCTTCATTCACCCATCACTGCCTGTGGCCTTTAATTGATTTAATTGAACGTTGTACCTCCTTGCCCAATAAAGAGCAATATCCAAAATTCTGCTGTAGAAAGTCTTGGTATATAAGTGTCTAAAAAGGCCCCTTCATCTTTATTTTTCAAGCATGCATGCATGCATGTACATGCCCGTGCACACACGCATAGGCTGAACTGTTATTTGGGCATGGATCTGAATTTCTAAAGCTTTCATTTCCATGCTGGATTAAGCATTAAAGACTGAAGAAATTCAGAGGTCAAAGCTCAGCATGATAGGTTACCTTCCACTACAAAGAAAACAGTAGTTCAAATGTTATAACTTGCCAAGGTTATGCCATTTAAATGTATAATGCAATTCCTGTATTAGGCATTTGGTAAAGGCAAGATCCCTAGCCCACCAAAGTTTTAAGTATTGTTTTCTTAAAAAAAAAAAAAAAAAAAGATAGTTAGAAAAGAGCTATGGAACACTGTTTTGTATATGATAACTGCTGCAAGACTATTATATGCACAGAAATGGAAAGACTCTGAAACACCCACAACGGAGGAATGGTTGGTGAATGTGATAGAACTAGCAAAGATGGCAAAATTGACTTGTCTGATTAGGGAAAGGACAATAACCTCATTTATAAAAGTCCCTTATGGACTTTTTGCTGAAGAAAGAAAAAAATGAACTTGTGATTTATGGGTTTGACAATTAGAAAGTGTAAACTATGGAAAGAAGGAAATTATGATGTAATCTTAGAGAGAGAGGGTAAAATAGAAATGCATTTATAACCACTGATGATCGGACGCTGCTTCTTTATAATCTTTTCTTCTCTCTCTCTCTCTCTCTCTTTTTTCTCTTTTCTTTCTTTTTCGTATTTTCTTCTGTTCACTATTTTTCTTTATTTCTTTTATTTCTTCTCTAAAAGTTGCATTGTTTTTATCTTGTTAAACATTTCTTTAATAAAAATTATTTTTAAAAAATGCAATCTGTACTTCCTAAGCTTTCTTAACTAAGCATTGAATTCCCCCCACCCCAAATTCAAACATTCAGAAATGTTTGAATTTTCCCAGCCTCACCCACATTTTTTATCCCTGACCCTATATGACCCAAGTTGCCTGTTTCCTCTAAACTAGACAACTGCAAAGAAATCCCAGCAGTGGCATTACATGGGCAACTCCAAGCCCAGGAAGAGAACTCATGAAGGAAATGAGAGAGCACTGTGAAAACCACCCAGAAGCTGCAGCTGGTCCGGAATGCAACCGTGCAGGCAGCATGGGCACGCTTTGGTATGCCCACGTAACGCCACTGCACCGTGAGCTGCACTGTTTGCCGGTGAGATTCTGGATGCAATTCAAGTGCTGGTTATTGTTAAGGTGTACTCATAAGGAAATTCTCCTGTGTGAGTAACACGAGGCAAACCAGGTAGCCAGGGCTAATGAGCTCATTGCCTACACCTGACAAGTACTGACTCAGCACAATGTGGGGGATATAAGCAGTCTGCATACTGCTGGGTGTTACTGAGAGCTGTAGAGTATTGTAGGTTCATAGGTAAGGTATACTGCAGTATGTATAGAAAGTGCTGTCTTCAACTGTAAGCCTAGCTTGTGTATATAGCTGTACATAATACAGTCTGTAGAAATAACAAAAGCAGAGTCCAAGTTGTCTTTCTTCTGGCACCGCTTGAGGACTGGCACAAAGCGTGACTCTGACAGTTATCACCTCTAAAGCCCTTCATGGCCCAGTGCTGGGTTGTCTAACAGGCCACCTCCCTCTCATGGTTTCAGCCTGTCTGGCAAGATTAGGCAGAGTTGGTACACTTCAGGTCCCTTAAAGTAAGCAATGCCATCTGTCCAGACCCAGGAAGCATGCCTTCTCTATCATAGCACCTGCCCTCTAGAATAATGTCCTACCCAGTGATCCAGGGAGCTCCCACCCTAGTGAAGTTCCAGAACTCATTCGAAATGTGTCTGTTCCCCCAGGTTTTGGCTATGGAGCTCTGGTGTTTGCTTGTTTGCTTGTTTTTAATATGGGATGTTGACTGAAAGCTTCAGATTCTAACTCTACTGATTTTCAGTTTTTGACAGCTACCTAGAGTCATTCTGGAGTTGAGCGGCCTCCTAAATAAACAAATGGTTTCTATGAAATGATTTAGCTTTAGTTGTCCTTCTACCAATATTATGACAATATCAGGCATTGATTCATACTGCATGAATGGTTATCCAAAGATGGGCTTTGACATGTACAACTGCGCACCTCAGAGATCTCCTTCCCATACTTGGGAAGCCGTTACAAGCTATCATGTTTCACCCTTCACTTTAATGCTGGCTGCCTGCCACAGACTTCTTCTAGTACCCTGGTAAATCCTGCTCCACCAATTAGAATTTTCGTCTGTGCCTTTTACTTGCATAGTCTTGCTAAAGCAGCATTGTACTTGTGCATCTGGAGTAGAAAGCATAGGCAGAAGGACACGTACCGCATTGTTACAAAGCTCTGCAAAAGTTCCATCAAAGCCCCTTTTCTTGGCCCAGCCTGGCATGACTTCAGCATCCAGTACAACTATCCCCACCAGAAAGGCCTGCAAGGTAAAATTGGAAGCCACATTTGTGACCCATGGTCCCAAAATGGTCAAACCAGCCATTACTGAATGAAAGCAGATATATTGAATGAAAGCAGATGTTTCACGCTCAGAACAATTGAAATGGGTCATTTCTCATTTGAAAATGTTTTGCACGCCTCCACTTGCTACATATTCTAAAATCTCTCTTGCAGCAGCAAAATAACAGTTTCTAGTAGCTGAGCGTATTCCAGAAGACTTGCTGTACATCAGGCAGTATCGATTCTCCACATTATACTAGGCATAAAGTACTGTACCTATATTTCACGTATGTGGAAAGAAAACAAATAATTATTTCCAGGCAACTATGCCACACTTGTAAGAGGAAAGTAGTGTACCACAGAAGAAGATAGCTATCTTCTTCACTTGACCTTACAGGAAGCCACAATGGAGATATTCAAATTACAAAACAGGAAGAGAAACTTGACTAAATTATAGAAATGTGAAGTGTTACCTGTAAGCTATCTCCATGCACATATATTTGGGAAACAGGTTCACTACGAATGTAGATATTTTCAATTTTTTCTGGTGCGATATACTCTCCCTGAGCCAATTTAAATATATGCTTCTTTCGATCAATGATTTTGAGTGTCCCATTCTGTGAGTAAATCGCAAAGAACAATTATGTTGATCTAAGAAAAATCATTAGGCAACAGCACTATACTTTAGCAAAATTACAGCTTATTTTTCATTCTGGGATTGGTAAGAGAAGCTAAAGTCATCTCCATGGTTTAGGAAAACTAGCAGCATAGGGCACAACCCTATATTTATTTAGTGGAAAGAAAATCTGCTATTCCGAATGAGGCTTACTGTCTAGTAAATGGTTTTGGGATCACAATCTTAAAATGTATTCAACCACATCAATAGTCTGTCTTTCCTCTAAAGATTTCTCAACCAGAGAGCCAGTGTGTTAAGTGGTTAAGTTGGATAAGGACTGGGAAGATCCAGGTTCTAATCCTTCCTCAGCCATAGAAATGTGGACATTTTGGTTTGGTCAATCTCTACCCAACCTATCTCACAAGACTGGAATTGGGGATACAATGAAGGGGAGACTGAGCTCATGGAGAAATGGCAGAATATAAAGCTAACAAATAACAACACTTTGAACCCACAAGGGCAAACAGATATTTAAACCCAAATTTCCCTGGAGAAGCCCTGATACTTCCTTCCTACATTACATCATCTATATTTACATGAATGTCATTGCCCAACTCATTTATTCCTTTATCATTTCCAAAAGTGCCAATAATCAATAAAGATGTAGCTTTTCAATTTCATTCTTAATGCAGAACATGAAAAGTTAGCAGTTCAGTACATACAGACAGCCACTTTCCAATGTCCCCTGTATGAAGCCAGCCATCCTTGTCCAATGCTTCAGCTGTTCTCGCTCTATCTTTTAAGTAGCCCTTGAAAACATTGGGACCTTTGACACAGATCTGAAAGAGAGATCAACAAGCTGTTTAACAGTAAGGTGTAGTAAATAGCCTCTGTTTACAAAACAGCTGCTAGATGTGAAGCAATCATGTTTACAATGAGAGCTAATTAGGTTACATACTATTAGGGCAACAGACTAATAAGGCAATCTCCCATAAAGAAGCATTTACAGAAGGGACTTCAAGCATTCATTTGGCCCAATAACCCCAAACTGATCTAGTGCTATCAACCTTATTCACAATAGCCTGTAAGCTGCCAAGAGTTGTTTGATTTTGGCAGGGTAGAACTATTACAAGTAAATAAATATTCTGATAACAACAGTGCTAATCTAACCCTGATCAACAGGTCAACAATTATTCTCTGCTCCATTATCACTATTATGCAGGTAGTCCCTGGTTAACAATGGTCATTGGGACTGGGATTTCCGTCGCTAAGCAATGTGATTGTAAAGTGCAATGTCACGTGACCACATCACTTAGCGACAGCAATCCTGGCAGTCTCCACTGCCATCATTAAGCGAGGACCTCATGGCAACTTCCTGCCGGCTTCCAACAAGCAAAGGCAATGGGGAACATGGCAGGAAGTTGCGAGTCCCAAATGGCTCGCAAGCAGGCCAGCGGGCAGGTAAATGGCTGCCGTGGCCTGGCGCAAGTGCAGCTGGGCCGAGGGTGGCTGCTGCCAGGGGTGCGAGGGCATGCAAGCCGCCCTACACTCTGCCACCTCTGCCGTCCCCAACTGACCTTCGCTGTCTTCTTCCTCCCACTGCTGATGAACGTGCCTGGCCTGGCCCTTTGCAAAGCTGCAGCTGCCCCAGCCCAGCACCGTGGTGTAAAGCCTCGGCTGCCCCAGCATTGAGGAGCAAAGCAGTGGCTGTCCCAGCCCAGCCCCTCAGCAGAAGCCCCTGATGCCCCAGCTGCAGCCCTCACTGGCCTGAACTCCATACCCCTACTGCCCTGCACTCTGCCGCCTGCAGCTGGCCTTCACTGTCTTGTTCCCGCTGCTGACAAGCCGCACCCAGCCTGGCTCTTCACAAGGCAGCTGCTGGCTGTGCCAGGCCATTTTCCTGAGATCGCATGCCTTGTCCAAATCATATGCAGCCTTCTCGTGAGGCTTTGGAAGGTCAGCTGGGGCGGCAGGGCCAGTGGAGCCAGGGCAGCAGGGCTGGCAGAGGCGGCAGAGTGCAGGATGGCCGAAAGGGCAGAGATGGGGGGGGGAAATAGGCAGGTGAGGGGAGTTGAAGCACCCCTGCAGTCATAAGTATGGGCGGGCTGCCAAGTGCCCAAATTTTGATCACATGATTGCAGGGACACTATAACGGCCATAACTTTGGGAACTGGGCATCATACCATTTGTTCATCGCCTCCCTAACTTCAAACGGTTGCTGAATGAATGGTCATTAAGTGAGGACTACTTGTACTGCAAGGAGGGTTTGTGTAAGGTTGTGCTTACAGGCAGTCCCCAGGTTAAGAATGTCCGACTTATGGACAACTCATACTTACGAATGGGCTGCCTATTATTAAAAATGGCGGACAGCGTTCTCCCAACAAACCGCTGAGGCTTCATGACGTTTTCATGAAACGCTAAAGCCACGCGTTCTTAATATACAGGCTGTTTTCAGCAGTTCATGAAAACATTGCGCAGCTTCAACAGTTTGTCAACTCAAGAAAGTGAACACCGTCCACCATTTTTAGTAATAGGCAGCCCGTTTGTAAGTACGAGTTCCGACTTACATACAAATTCAAGTTAAAGAAAGGCTTAGGAATGGAACTCGTTCTTAACCCTGGGACTGCCTGTACTTATCTCTGCTTCGGGGGCCAACAAGTTGTTAAAAACAGCAATCCCAACCAGTCACCCTGGCTGGATAGAACTCCCACAGAGTTGGCACTCCCATCTAGAACAGCTTAGAAAGGGGAGGGTTGGGGATCCCGTATTCACTCCCGGAAAACCCTCTTTTGACACTGCTTTCAGAGAACCAGTTCTGGAGCAGCAAAAGGAGCAGGGATTTCTCTGCAGCAGTGTTTCTCAAAGTGTGATCCAAGGACCCCTGGGGGTCCCCCAGGATTTTCTCAGGGGTCTGTAAAATCAAAATGATTTGCCAGATATTGAAAATATTTGTAAAAATTTAAAACAAAATCACTCTTCTCATTATTATTATTTATTTGTTCAAAGGGGGCTTTTCGTGAACAGTATTGGTTAATATTTAATAGATTTAATATTGTTATTTTTACATGATTCAATAAATACATATTCTGTGAATGCATCAATTTTAATTTTTGATATGGTAAATATCAATAAACATAACCCATACAAACAAAAACTCTTTTGGGGTCCTCCATAATTTTTAATAGTGGAAAGGGGTCCTGTGAGCAAAAAATTTAAGAAACACTGCTCTGTAATAAGGAAACATGCAAGGGCTGACTCCCATTAATGCAGGAAGATAGAATGAGCCACCCAAGGACCTACAATGCTGTAATATGTCAGAGAGCAATCCACAGTCCTTCCCATATCAGTTAGGAACATTCTTGCCACTATTAGGTAGACCACCAGTACTTTCACAAAGAATGTTAAGTGACTTGACCATTTCCTTTACTTCTAACACATTTCTTTTCTAATGGAACATGCTTTGAAATGCTCTATTTTGGCTTCTGTTTTAGAGCTCTTATCTAGAACAAATGGTATGGTTAAATTTGTAGATAAGAAACTTAAATGAAAAAGTACCAGTACTGTACACATTACCTCTCCCTCTCCTTTGGAAGAAAAGTAATTCAATTCTTCAACATCCACCAGTTTAATTAAATTACAAGGCAAAGGTGCTCCAACGTGGCCTGAAAATCAAATTAAGAGTATGTGCTTGGGGTTTTTTTTTCTCTTAAAAAAGTAAAACAAAGTTACAAAAAACCACCAGCAGATTATTATCATATAGCTATCTACATATTACTGAAATAGCAGATGTCATGTATGTGTAATTGAGTGAAAAAATTAATTACAAAATCACAATATCTCACAGCGAGACTGGAAGAGGAAACAGCCTATACACCCACTGCTTGTCTCACCCTGAAGACTATTCCAGAGAAAAAACAGTTCACAAATAGAGCTGCAGTTGATCACAAGTATTGAAGCTAGAATCCCAGTAAGCTACATGACTATAGAGATTTATATAACAGCTATTTTGTTTAACATTGCTTATACTTTCCACTGGAGAAGAAATGAACTATTGATTGGTTTTAAAAAGAACTTGCCTGTCTGGCAGAGGACATTAATGAGTCAGAAGCAGCCTAACAGGACTGTGAGCACATCGGTAAGTGTTTCTCAACCTTGTAACTTCAAGCTGTGTGGGCTTCAACTCCCAGAATTCCCCAGCCAGCATGCCTGGCTGGAGAATTCTGGGAGTTGAAGTCCACACAGCTTGAAGTTGCCAAGGTTGACAAAAAACACTGACACAGGTAATTCTCCTGCAGGCCTGCATGTTTTAGGATTCTGCCCTTGCTGCTTTCAAACTTACATGGCCACATTCACCTGTCTTTTATGAAGATGCCTGCTTTGTTATTACCTGATGTCCAGTCTCCTGGAGTGGTAAAGGTACACCCAGCTGTACACTCTGTTTGACCATAGCCTTCATAAACCTGTCAAAGACATGTTATTTAAACAAGATACTAATGTTAGTGTTTTATCTGAACACTGGAAGGAATAAAGATCTCTGCTGTGCTCAGAAGGGAAATTTATATCACTTGGAATCACTGGCATTGCCACTGTATGAGTCAGACTTCTGGTCCTTGAACATAAGAGGTAAATAAAGAAATTAGAAGTAGTAGATAACATTCTTGTCTTCCTATAAACTCAGAAAGTGGAGAGGGAAATGTTTTTGGATTTTGTTGTTAGGCGAGGAAAAAAATTATAAGTGGCTGAGAGGTGAATTATTGATATCCACCAGTAATAACATTTCTGAGGGCTAATGCTGTAAGCTCTGCCTGGACTAAAAAAGGAACATCATTAATTCCTGCAAAGAAAGGAGGAAGGCATTTGGGCCCATGATGCCCTTGAACCCCTGACAGTTTGAGTATCTGTCTACTTCAATAAAGGCAAGTGGCTGTATCAAAGTCCTGGAAAGACAACTTGGCTTGTAGGCAGTCCATCTAGAGAACACAGATGATTTTCCAGATGGTAGCTAGTCAGTAGAACTGGAAGGCAGAAGAATGGTAACTGCCGTAGTAATTTGTCTTCATCTTGCAATGATCATACCCAATAATTTGGTTAAAGTTGAGAGAAAAATTCTAATCTGGCCTTTGCTATGAGCCAAACATTCTTATAAGAGACTGAGCTTTTTAGGATAGTGACATTTCTATTATGAATGCATCTGATCTTCATCTGACCCTTAAGTAGAATTACTAGGCAAAAAAGGTGCATTTGAATAATGCTCTAGTAGAGCCTACCTGACATCCTAGTGCTGCTCGAAGGAAACCCAGAACTGTAGGTGAAGCAGGAGCAGCTCCAGTAACAATCATCCTAACACAACCACCCAGGCTTGCCTGTTAGACAAACACAATTTTGAAACACAACATAATATCATCTCATCCTTTTCTACTGCTGTGGGAAAATAGTGAAATTCTCCCTATGAGCAATCCCACTCCCCACAAAGGTAACTCCATCCTTGCTGTTCTTTCAGAGGGTCATTGAGACCTAGCTCTTCCAACAGGCTTTTGGAGGGAGCATTGATAAATGGACAACTCCTAAAGCTGTGGCAACAAGGATGGTAGGAGAGTTGGATTTTGGTTTTTTGCTTTGCTAGTCTTAATTGTTTTAATCTGAGTGCTGGATCATGGAAATACACTGCTCAGAGTCACATCTAACTGGAATGGTGTATAAGCCCTAGTAATATAATAAAATAATTAAAAGAAAGGAGTCTGCAGGAATAGTGTGACTGTTTACAATGTGCAAAGGCTTCCAATCTGCAGATCTATGTGTGTTGATTAACTGACGTCAGAGACATGGGTAAGTGGGACTGTTCATTGCTGCCCACAAGGTAAATTTTGCTACATTTTTTCAAATGCCTGAATATTGCTTCTATATTATTGCTTCCCTCAACCCATTGCCCTCCAGCTGTATTGGAGAGAACTCAGTTCATCTAGAAAACAAGTGGGGAAAGCAGTTACTATATATTGCCTAGGAGAGTATGTGTGAAATCATAAAGGGACCCACTTTTTAATGAGACTCAAGGAAGATTTAAATATGTGTACTGTATTTCAGAACTTAACGCACTTTCTAATCCTCATTCTCCAGTACTGTATCAAGATCACCTGGTCTGCTAAAAAGGATCACTAAAAACTCAAAAATCTTGCCACACACAATTTAAATGGAAAAAAGGAAAGAGAAAAGTAAATTAGCTGATAATCCACCAGGATAAATATCTGGGGAATGGGGAAAGAAGGGCAATTAAAAAAATGGGAAATCTCCCTCCCATAGCAAATTCCTGCAAGCTTCTACTCTAATGGTGATCTAAGGAAGAAGTTTTTAACTATTACGCTTACAGACCTGAGACTTACGTAGTTGCCTATACTCCCATTGTTTTTAGCATATTATATGACAATAAAATCAATCGAGTTAAAATCAATATTCTCAACATCAACCTTAACACAAGATATGAGTTTTGCCACTTTCCTAAGTACTGGGAAATTGGGGGCTAAATACACCTCCCTGGGGAGAACATTCCAGAGCTCGGGGTTCACAAAGGAGAAGGTCCTTTCCTGCACTTAGAGAGCTGACTTTCGAGGCATCTTCTAAAACATCTCTCCTGCTGATCTCAATAACTGGACAGGTTTTAAAAATACAAACAAATATTTCCTGTTCTTTTCTCTTGGAATTAAAATTATCTTAATTTTTTAAATGTTTGCTTTGAAATATTTAGGCCTTGTTCAAATGTGAATTTGAGTATAATTTACTAAACTTGATGGGTTACTTCTGTGAAAATAGGTATATTAGCTAACTCTCCAATACCCCCTCTAGAAGGTACTTCAATAGAGTATGTGTCCCCTCTCTCCCAGAGATAAGTTTTAAAATCTGTTTCATAAGTTTGCACCAAAGAAAAAATGACTTGATTATAACCAAGCTATTTTCCTATTTTTATCACCTGAATCCAGCATTTGCTGGAGGGCTTCACTCATCTCTACATTTATCCTACCCTTTTTAAATGCATTGAGAAACCTCCAGTGTAAATTGCATCTCTATTGTGAGTGATTTTCACAAGACACAGTTTTTATAAATTCTTACCTGTATTTTGTTAAAGAATAATTTATCCCATATACTGTCATTTCTAATGATCCCACTTTGAACTTCTGCCTTTTTACGCTTGGCGGCAAATTCAAGAAGCCAACGTTTCATAGGAGTGTCTGCTTGACTAAAGATCTACGAATCGGTGTAAAAGAACAAGGAGAAAGACAAGAAAAAGTTACTTTCATAGAAAAAAATGACAAGAAGCAAATGTATTACTAATATAAGCAGACATGACTCTGCAAATGGCATTAGTCCTATACAATTGTTGGAATTAATAGTAGCTGCACCATAAAGCTATTAGCAAAAAGCTAATCTACTGTCATTGTTTCTGAATTATGCTCTTTTCCTTCATTCTGTAAGGAAATTAAATAACTGAAATCTAAATGGAGATGAAGATATTTTGAGAGTTTTTATATGTTTAGTTTGGCATGGTTATATATAATTATTTGGGAAATTATGGCAACAGAATAAAAAACATCTGGTAACTGCAGAGAAATTCCCAGCTCTGAAAAAGCCAATTGTGGCTGATCATTATTTTTATTACTGTCATGTGAGGCAGTAATTATGCCAAATTTTCAGGATAAACCACTAGAATCATGTTGTATACACAGTTTTACATACAAAAAGAGTAAAGAACAAAAGTCAGACTTCATTTACATTACATTAATCATTCCACATAATTATATACTGCCTGCCAAGTGTGTACTTATTTGTATATACCAATAGATTGCAATAACAAATACATTAAAATGCAGTGTAAAATAACATTGAACAACAGCCTAAACTGCAATGGAGTACTGTATATGTGTTATTTCAAAGAGATGGTAGTCAAAAGATTGCCATAAGAGAAATGACTCTCTTCCTGGGTGTAATGAAGGAAACGTCCATAGGATATGGCATCTGATAATGATGGTGATGATGATATTATTATCCAATGATGCTTGCAACAGCTGGGCAGGTATAGGCAAGAAATATTTTCTCAATTATCCTGGTACCTTGCTACTTAAAATCTTAGAGGTACCTCCAAGGGTGGAGGGCTGACAAATGAAGTGCCTTCCCAATATAAGTCCCACCCCTTGTGTGCCTTTGTTGTGATGTCCCATAGATGCCCCTATGGATTGAGCTAGCAATACGGTGCTGTTTTTGTCATTTTGATGACAGCAGAAAGCTTCTCTAGACACCCATGGGTACCAGAATCAAAATACAGATTTGCAAGTTCCGTTTCCTATTTGGAAATCTGCGCTCAAGTATAAAATAAGGTAGGCAAATTTTGCATCTTGCTATGCTAAAATTCAGTGACAGCCAAGTAAAGTAACTAAAGTAAGCAATGTCTAGACATTCAAAGCCAAACATTAACACCACGTGATAAGAAAAACAGCACTGCATCACTAATAAAGACGCCCAAGCATTGCTGGTGTCTCTGCTACTGCAGACTTCAGTGTCATTCCCCACCCGCTGGTAAGGATGCAGGTGGGCAGAGCCCAGTCATCCTATGGTGTTAGCCAGAAGACTGCCTGCACACTCCTACAGAGGCCAGGCACAGAGCTGGAAATCAAGTAGTGTCAAGGCCAGCATTTTGAAGCCAAAGCCTTCCTAAGCTGCCAATTATGCTCTACAGGCATACTTAGTTTACACTGCAGATAACATACTTAGGCAAGTGCCTGTGGGAGAGAAGAATACACTTTTTGTAAAGTAGAAAATAGGGAGCCTCTGGGCCTCAGGCCCACAGACCAAGCCCTGAGCAATATGGGCCACAGAAATCAGACCTGACCTTTTGGGGGTCTGCAGGCAACAGTAAATTTCAGATAAGAAGAAATATAAACAGTAAGATTACAACCCTCATATCACTTGATTACAACCCTCATATCACTCATGAATGAGTGATCCAATTGTGTTCTCCTCTCTGTTCTATGCATGGAATTCAGTACTAAAAGGAATCTAATTGCAATCTTCACTTAGCATAATACCCAGGCTGAACACAAACAAGGGTCCCAAGATTGACTTCTGTCTAGGAACATTAAAGGAAAGCAATTTGATAGACCCTTGCATATGTACAGACATGTCCATTTGAAGACACAGTGTGATGGCTACAAAATTGAGCCCTTGCACAGATTTTTTGGCACTTTATTTATTGTCTTCAATTCTATGGCACTGTGTACACTGAGATGGTGGTCAGTGTTTCACTGGTTATTTTCCAACTACACACACATTATCTACCCCCTATTTTCTGTCTTCCAGTTCAAGGCAGAATGACTATGATCACACCAGCACTGACCAAGAAGAATGGAGGGAACAAGGTACAACAAAGCTTTTGGAATTTCTCCTTCTTCTTTGCAAGTACTCTAAGAACAAGATAATTTGCAAAATGTGAGTGGTCAGAATATAGCATGAAAAAATCCATTGTTCCTCCCTTTCTATCAAGTCTACTGTCATTAAGATGGGTAAACAGGTCTGTGAGAATGGAGACAATGGAGAACATTAGAATGCAATGTAGGAAAAGAATAGAAGTTTGACACTTGCTAAAAATGAAAAGACTAAAGAAATAGCTGAAAATATAACACTTTTTACTGAACAGGATTGTATTACACAAGAACAGAAGAACCAACTTTATTTCACTTGCTACCTGCAGAAGTATACCTGCAGTGTAGGCCTATTGCAATACTATAATAATTACACTGTCTCTTATGTATTTTGAAAAGACACAGCAGCTGTTTTGGAACAAAAATGTAGCAATCCTTTAGACTACAGTATATATATATATACCAGATACATTCATTCTGCCTTATCAGTTAGTAGAATGATACAAATGGACAAATTCTTATATGAATTAATCTCATTCTAGTAATTGTTTTTTCTAAAATTCTTTTTATTATTATTTCTCTGATGGTTCTGCAGCTTATATGATAGATTTTTCCAGAGCCACACTCATATTTCAACAAAATCCATTTTCAAACCTCAGATAAAACATTCTGCATTTCTTTTGTTCATAAAAATAACATCCAACCTAACAAGCATTCAAGTACTTAAATTTAAATAGAACATACTCTTCTACTGTACATTTCTGGTGCCACATTCTGAGTAAGTAAACTGGCTTACATAAAGGTTAAAAATGCAGCAGCCAAAGAATTTAAGGAAAGAAAGAAGTATCCAGTTCCAACATATTGGATAAGTTCATTTTTTTTTTTTTTGCCAACAGAAATGGTAAAAAGTACCTTATCATACATCCTATTGAGTAGCCTTGGCACGACAGGAAAGATGGTGGGACGCAGAGCTTTCATATCATCAGACAGCAAGCGAATATCCCCTTGGAAGAAGCCAATTCGTCCTCCATGACAATATACTACAGACTGTGATAAGGAAGGCAAAGGAAACAAATTAATTACTATGTTTTTACCCAGTATGCCCCAAATGTGTGGGATTATAAAACCCATACCCCTCCGGCATCTTTCTTATTGGTGGTGTAATGTCACTATTAAATAACTCCTCGTAGGAAGACCCTATCCAACAGTCTTGGCCATGTCATGTGCATAATAGAAGAACTATCTTGAGTTCTACCATTAGGGGACAGGTAATTCTATTGAAGAATCCAAGATTTGCTTCCTCACAATATTGATTTTCTCTGAAAGCCAGCAGTAGTGGGTGATGCCTATCCACCCTTATAGTTTAAGTTCTTTCAGAAAAGAAAGTCCATTCAAAATTTCAGCAGTAGTTGTAGGGCAAACAACTAGCTGTAAAGTTTAGGAAAGATAGTCTCTGGAAGAGAGGTACTTCATTTTAAGTTGTAAGTTGTAGGTTTGACTATTCACTTTAGAAGAGCTGAGAGTTGAAAGAATGCTTTTCAAAGTGAAGCAATAAAATATATTTTAAAACCACAATCCTTCTGGAGTAGCTATAATTTCAGGTTTAAAGCAGACTCACTGGCAGGACTTGTAAGTAATTTTTAACCGTGATTGAACTATGGAGAAACAGCCTAGTTTCTCCTTGAGCTTATGTATTCTTCTCGGTTTCAAGAAAAAAAGCAAAGTTCAGCTTCTGTTTTAGATTAAGTCCAATTTAGCATGTTTCTGAATCTTAAATTAAGGATAATTCTCACTATAATTAGTGGAAAGAAGCCAGCTTCAAGCCACAGACTGTGGAGATGGTTTGCTTTCATGAGCTTGAATAGGTCAGGCATGGGTGAACCCAGGCATAGGTGAGTCATTCTTATAATGCTATACTATGATTCAGTGCAGTGTATTTCAACTTTGGCAACTTTAAAATGTATGGACTTCAACTCCCAGAATTCCCCAGCCAACACACTGCTGAAGTCCACGCATCTTAAAGTTGCCACGTTTGAAAAACACTGACCTAGTAGCACATCTGGGCCAGCCCATTGCCTATTCGTCTCTTTTTATGGTATAGCACGGGAAAATGTTGGCTTCCACTGACACTAAGGCCTTACCTGTACCATTCTCTCAAACATGTGTGCTAAAGGCAAATAGGAAATGTGTACATCCTCATATGTAGGAGACCACTGACTCTGGAAAAAAAAACACAACAAGGAGCCCACGAGGCCTGGTCAGTCTAGGCAGTTTCTTACCTGTATCACTCTTTCAAACATGTGAGCCAAAGGTAGGAAGGAGATGAGTACATCGTCCTGTCTCGGAAAGATCACTTTCTGCAGATGAAGGGCATGGGAGACAGAAAGGAAAGAAACACTGACAGGAAGACACAACAAGAAAGTCATAAAACAATAAAAAGAAAAATGGCACTAAGAGGAGCAAAAGAGGGGTAGAGATTATTATGTGAGAAAAGAGAAGTGTTTGAAGTAATGCGTTAGGCCACGACACCAATGGAGCTATGTTAGCAGGAGTGGTGAGTAACACAAGGGTGTATGCAGAGAGCTCTCTCCACTGTACAGGGCACCAAAGGTGTCCGTTCCTAATCACAACACCAAAATGACAAAACGTGCATCATATTATCTAGGGTGACACAAACTCTGCCCTCGCATATTTGCGTCATGACATCTCATGCAATTATGGAAGGAATGGAGTTTACATCATGGCACATATTTTATCACTCCCCACCCCCTCCCCACCTTCTCCAGACACCTATGCAGGGCCTGTGTGTTCTGAGACCTGAGCTATGAACGTGCCCTCCTATTATCATGCCTTTGATGCCATCTCAAAACACCTGCTCCCAAGAATGCTGTGTGGTCCATCTTGGATGCTTTTGCTGCTTGGGGTTTTCCCCAAGGAAGTGCCTCCTTTTAACATTTTCAGCAACGATGACCAATTACTAAGCAACAAGTTCAAGTGTTGACATCCACATGGGTTAGGAGCATAAGTTATTCTAAATCAAGTCAAACCATTTAGCTAGCAGACCGGCAAAGGCTTCTAGGGTGAACGCTATTTGTAATGGAAAGACAGGATATTTATTTTTAGAAACATCCATCTATTTATTTATTGAAACATTATTATTAAAATATTAAGATCCCTTTTTAGCATAAGCTAGCATTTGGACAATCACAACATCAAATTGCAAGATTGGCAGCTTTCCTTATCCCCCAGTAGGAGAAAATTCGTGGCCCATAATAGCTGCTTAGTCCACAGAACCAGCTATGATCTACTAGTGACAGATCATGATTTGCATACAAAAGATTGAAGAGTTGATCATTCAGATATCCAGATAAAATCCTGGATAATTGCAGTTAAGTAGTGGTGAGGATACCTGCAATATGCTTTGATTCTGGCTTAGTGCACTGTGTGAACCTATCCATAACAGGTTAGTGTTATGTCTCAACAAGGCCATTATAGCTCATTTAATGAACCACAGTTAATATGATTGAACCCAATTAACGCAAGGCAACCTCTGGGTCCTAAACATACTATACCATGTGATGCTTTTGTGAGGATGAGATATAATTCAAAAATCATAGCCAGGTAAGTTCTGTTTATCAGTTAACTATTGAAGGCATGGGAATCCTCCCAGGATTTTTTTTTTAATATCCTGTTATTAATTAATCTTGCAACCTTGCTTTCTGGATGCCTGTTAAGGCTTCCATACTTTAAATTACATGGGTTCTTTATTAACACTTTTTGTTTGCTGCCTTGCTCACAAAATATTCTAGATAGAAGAGACTCTCTTTCCATCTCCATTTTTTTCTTTAAAATTATTATTTTTTTTAAAAAAAATACTTAGTTCTTTATTGCAGAAAATCAATTTATACATACATCCAGACTGAGGTGCTCAGAGAAAGAATTGTAGAAAGGCCATTACCAGCTGGGAGCTGAAGGAGTTGGTATGAGAGAAAGTAACATTTGAATTTCTCTCACCCATAGTAGATAATGAGGACTTCTACCTGTCCTTGAAGTAGACAACATCAATATTTAATGGCTATGGTTTGAAATTCATTTGCTTTTTTCCAAACTGCTTCTTGCACTCAATCCAGATTTAATCATGCTTCAAGAAGACTATTCAGTGTAACTTAAGTTTTAAGGTAATCTTAAACTAGTTACACTGATCTCAGTGGGTATGCCTGAACCATGCCCAAGACTCAGGTTGGAAAGCTCCTTTGTTTGTTTCTTGGTTTGTTTACCCACCCTTCAAAATCATCTCTGGGTAGGAAGAACCTCTTAAATTCAAAAACCATCATTGGGTTTGTGCTACTATTAAGCGTTAGTTCAGTGCTTAAACCAATGGTATTGGAAATTGCAGTCATGATTTACAAGCAGTCTCCTAGGGCAGACAGTTTCCTGTCTTGTAGGTGTTTCCACATCCAAGATTATATAGCTCATTTTGCTGTCAGGTTCTAAAACAAATAAATAGAGTATTCACCTCTGTCACTTTCAAAAAACCTGAAAAATCAGCCACCACATTTCCATGAGTCAGCATAGCACCTTTTGGGTTACCTGGAGAATGGAGGAAGAAACATCTATCAAATAAACATTCACATTTACCACATAGCAAAAATGGGCAAAGAAGTCAGCACCTCAGATAATTATTTCAAAATCTGTTTCTTATTTGCTAATATGCCATGATCTTTGACAGGATGTACATTGCCAGCCTTTAAATGCCTGCTTAGCACTTAACAGTTTAAGAATTTTTCACTGATACAGTGTCAGTGAAGACAAGAAGGGTCAATCAAACAAATCACTTCATATAGACACAAAAGGCGCTTTCAGGGACCCTACCAGACATTTTCCATGTCTGGTAGAACAATTATTTTTCTAGTGTTGAAACTGGGCTCCCCAACACTTTTCCCTCACTGGGCTAAACTGGAAGTCTCATCAACTACATTAGGAATGAACAGCTTCCCCCCATCCCATTCAAGGGCCACATTTCCTCTGGGATAATCTTTTGGAGAACATGTGCCAATGTGGTAGAGGGGGTGAACAATGTGCCGCAGAGTCAGAGAGAAATGGGGGCAGGACCAGCCACCATCTACTTTCTGATGCTCCTGTCTTCCTCTCTCTTTTCTTCGCCAACTCCCTCCTGATTCGGCATGGAGCTAGCACTAGCTTTTAAAATCAAGTTGAGGATGCTCTACGACAACCACCATATTTTAAGCATCACATACAGTATTTTAAATCAGCTTGCTTGTTTCAAGGCTATCTTTGAAAGCAAGCAACTTTTAACAGGGTTCAAAAGTTGATTTGTGTTACAGCTTTATGTAGAATCCACAGCAGTTGTCTTGCTCAATACAGTCTTTCAGCACCACAGCCAATTTTCCTAGTGCTATCTGATAGACAGCAATCAAGATGTGTTTTCCTTCAAATATTTATAGGCTTGAAAGGATTAAGAAATGCATTAAATAAATGTAATATTTGATGGGTAAGTGTGCAAAAGGGAGGGGCAACGGGGAGGGCTGGGATTATTTTTCCCAATAAAGGACATTTCCTCAAAAGGGGAAGTAATGCTATGTACAGTAAAAATCTAAATATATGACATTTGGCTTCTGCTTTTTCAGATTTTTTTTCTCTAAAGATCTTTTCTTGGTGCATCTTACTCAAGATCAAGTTGAACAAATGAGGTCAAACATTATTAGAGGAGCGAAAAATTGATTAAAAGAATGATTTCCCAAATGTATATCTCATTAATAAAGCAGGTAGATTTAGAGAAGAAATAATGAAAATATCTGAATTAAGTATACTCCACTATAGTGTGAAAAAAACCAATTTAATATTTTGCATAAGCAGGATCTTTCACTTGTCAGATTAAATCAACCAAACTGAAATAACCAGAATTAGGATTATCAGAATCCAGATAGCTGAAAGTTCAATCTTTCTAGAAATACGTTTTTGCAGAAAAGAAAATACGCATTTCATTACTTATGTATTTCTGACTGTCCATGGGATATCTAGATACCTTGGTACTTTCAAAATGCCTGGAAATTGCAATCGCTATACATATAGCTCCAAGGACATTTACAAGTCAAAAATGGTGAAGTACACAAATAAAAGATCAATGGGGGGAATATTTAGTTGATTCAGTCACTCTAGGGAGAGTTCAAAATATATTCAAAGATTTTAATTATATTATCCATTGGAGCTTAGCTTAAATTAACAGAATTTAACTTGGAAAAGTTGATGTAAATTGTATGGCCTTCCTTATCACTTGGATGAGGAGATATATGACCTGGGATGCAATATGTCCTGTTTTTTTTATCAGAAAGGCAAGGAATACATCATATTATGTCATGTCATTGATCTTGTCGTCACCTTGCTTTATTGGTTCTTTCCTTTTCCATTGGTGCTAGCATGGCAATATCACTGGTGACATTGTAACTGGTGAGCAGTTATAGCATACATTGATTTTTATTATCTTTAATTATCTCCCGCTTTTAAAAAATGTATTTCCCTGCCAAAGAAGTCCTTAGACTGTATTAAGAGTAGGTATCTTTGTTGGCCCATTATACTGTACTGGTCATTCTTCCAGGATGGAAAGAAGAGAACAGACTGTAATCTAATCAGACCCTAAGCAGTGTTGTTTCTATGGTAAATGAGTGAACATTTTAAGTGGTAAGTCCGCATAAGTAACAGTAGTGGTTTACCTGGGCTGACCTTTTCATTTCAAATATCAAACTTAGTAATGAGCCATTCCTAAGTTTGATAACTGAAATGAAAGGGTCACCCAGGTGAACCATTAATGAGCCATTCCAAGAACTAGTGTGGTGTAATGGTTAAGGCTAAAAACCAGGAGACCATAAGTTCTAGTCCTGCCTGGGCACAAAGCCAGCTGGGTGATCTTGGGCCAGTCACTTTCTCTCAGCCCTAGGAAGCAGGTAGTGGCAAACCACTTCCAAAAAGCCTTGCCAAGAAAGCTGCTGGGACTTGTCCAGGCAGTTGCCAGGAGTCAAGACAACAAAAAGTGAACCATTCCATTCCTTGAATTTAACCAAAGAGTTATTTACCACAATAAATGTTTTAACTTTTCCAAAATATACTTCATCAGTCAGGGTGATAAATCAGCACTCTGTACTTTGTATATACTATTATGTTTTTGCATCTCCCCCCGAAATATTACAAATATGTAAAAATAATCAAAATTAAAATGTACACATTATTTCTATCTACAAACATTTGAAATGGTTCTAAAAGAGTTAAATTATATTTATAAATTTATAAATTATATTTAATGTTAAATTTCACCAGCATTAAAGTGATAACCTTTACCTGTGGTGCCACTAGTAAAGCAGACAATTGACAGATCTTCTGGTTGAGGAGGCTAAAACAATGATAAGAATAAGTAATACAATTTCTTACATTGGACTTATCAGATTCTAACACAGAGAAATAATATTATCATTTTCTATGCAATCATTTCCATAGGGTGCTGCTTTCTTTTTTGCCCAAGATCTGGTTCAAAATGCAGGTAGACCTTGCTTAACAACTGCCCTGTTTAGCAACTGTTCAAAGTTATGCCAGCGCTGAAAAAGTAACTTTATGACTGGTTCTCGCACTTACAACTGTTGCAATGTCCCTGCAGTCACATGATTGAGATTTGGGTGCTTCACAACCGGCTGACATTTACAACCATTGCAGTACCCCATGGTCATGTGATCACCATTTGTAGGCTTCACAGCTGGCTTCCAAGAAGCAGAGTCAATGGAGAAGTCAGCAGTGAAATCACAAGGCAGTGTCATGTGATGCCTCACTTAACAACAGAACAGAAAGTGAGGTCGTAAGTCTGTTGTGGTCACATGATCATGTGATGTCTTGCTTAACAACTGCTTCACTTAGTGATGGAGTTGCCAGTCCCAGTTGTGATTGTATGCATATATTTTGGTGTGAATAGACCATCATGCTAGAGTTTTACACTACAATGTACGCATCCTTATGTGGGACTAAGTTGAAGAGAAGCTAAGGACACCCCTGGCATCCCACTTACAAGACATCATGGGGAGGGTGTCAGCCTTTATCCAGAGACAGCCATTTATGCCACGGCTGTCATCTTGCCATCATCTGCATTGAACACACACACAGTGTGGATAGAGCTACTCTACATGTAACATGTGGGGTGAAACTCCCACCTCAGCATTGGACTTGGAGGTGAGGGGAACTTCTGAATAGGGCTAATAAGGCATCAGAGTCCCAATACCTTCAGAATCCATGGTTTTTGTTGCCTGTATTTCTCAGTTTAAATTCTATTTGGGGAAAAAAATCAGAGGGGCAGTTCTTGGAATCACCAGGCTGAATAACTTCTATTCACAAGAATGTAAGCATTTCATCCTGCAGAGTTCTCCCACTCTTATTTCTGCCCTTATCTTCATGTTTTTACCTAAAAATTACAGCACCAAAATTCAGCCACTTACATGCCAAATTTTGATGGTGTAATATCAGACAGTATTTTGGGAATGGGGAGAAGAGTTGGGAGTATTAATGATGGGAATAAGATAAATTCACTTCCCAGAAGTTTTCTGTTCCCAATCCCACGCTTCTTTCTTTTCTTTTCTTTTCTTTTTTTTACAAAAACTTGTACTGCCGAATATCTCTTGAGCGCTTGGGAGTTACAAAGGGGATGCTGAAGGCTGCAGACAGCCCCCATCAACTCTCATCTCCCCTCTAATGATATACAAAGTATCTAACGATGAGTATTTGCAGCTCTCACACCACAGCTTGGGCAAGATTATCACTACACAATTCTCAACCTCAGAATCACAGAATTTTTTCAGAATTCTCTTATTGGTTGTGAAGACACACAAACATAAACTTCTAGAGTCACACAAAGCCAGAACTTTCTTCTGCACAGAAAATAAACTCTCACAGGACATTGACATTATGAGAAGAAAGAAATCCAGCTTTTACTCAGTAAGATTCTCCCATGGCTAATGACTGATGTGCAGTACAAAACAGGATCAAATAATTATTTCTTTTATATTTTAGTCCTGAATAGGCCAAATATCTCATATGAAGATACAGGAATTCTCTTTATGCAAGGATTTTCATGCATTAGGCAATTCTGGTGCCTCTTTTTTGAATGAACAGCCACAATTTTTAAATGCCATGTTTCCCTGTATCCCTGAAGTGCTATTTACAAGCTGCTCATGTTGAGAACCTCCAAAACTGCAAATATTTAAAGACTGAAAAGTTCACAAAAGGCCCTGTACCATCTTCCACTAAAAGAAATGGGACATGAATAAGGACCCAGTGGGATCTTGGGCAATTTTCTTTCCTTGAACAGTTAATGGTGAATTTAGTCCTTTGTTTATGAGAAAATACTAGGGATAGAAAAGGATGGATTATACTCACTACAGGGACATGCCAGCATTCTCTACCACAGTCCTGAAGAATATAAGAAAAGAATAATTATTAGCTGATATTTTTGATAATCTGTGAATGGTTCTCTGGCCTGATTTGTCTATCCTACTGCTGTTTAGCTATTTGCCCCTTTAAACTTCATCATGCTGTAATATAATGACAAGACTAGGCTAATAAAGCAGTTTTGCACTGTCAGATTTAGAATTTTTTATCATCATCATCATCATCATCATCATCATCATCATCATCATCAAACTGAGAACCAGTTTGGTGTAGTGGGTAAGGTATCAGGCTAGAAACCAGAAAACCATTAGTTCCAGTCCTGCCTTAGGCACAAAGCCAGCTGTGTGACCTTGGGCCAGTCACTCTCTCTCAATCATAGGAAGAAGGCAATTGGCAAACCATTTTCAGAAAACTGCAGGGACTTGTCCAACCAGTCACCAGGAGTCAACACTGACTCAAAGGCATTTAAAAAAATCAAACTGCAGTACTTAAATCAACTTTGTCTCATCTTTTATTTTTTTAAAATGAAGTTTTTTCTCAGCATATTAAATAAATATATCTACATTTATTCTCATCCCTTAGAACAGTTTTTCATTTCACAAAAGTGTAACATAAGATCAAATAAAGTATTGGAAAAGAATCGCACCTCTACTTCCTGCATTGCCTGGATTTGAACTCCACATCTTTGTCCTCTTTCTTTAAGATCCTTCTCAAAGGGGTCCATCAAAATAACTGATTTCAAGCCCGGTATTTCTTTTTTTTCTACGTGTTCTAACAGGACTCTGGCCTTTTCAGGTTTATCACAAACTACTATAGAAATATCAGCTAATAAAATAAATCAAATGATATAGACAATTATATTGAAATACCAACACATTTTTATTTACAAATTGCAAGCCATCTAAATAATTGTGTGACAATTATTCAAACAAGAATAATTTCAATTCCTTAAATTCAATAAATTCAATTCCTTCAAATCAATAAAGTTCAATTCCTGAACTTTACAACCATCCAATTCTCCAACCACTGCAACTGTATTCCTTTGTGTATATTGAGGTCAGAATTTTTTATTTTGAATCAATACCTTCCCAATTTCCCCACCCTAGTTCTCCCCCTTGTCCAACTACTGTATTATGTTAGTGTTAAAATGGTAAAATTTAGACAGGAGTTAGACTGAGCAACTGAATATCCTGAATCTCTAAGTTGTAATCAACATCCACTTCAAAACTCAAACTAAATTAAAACCAATTTAAGACATTGTTCCATTCCAAAATACTGGTTCACAGCTTAAATAATTTTTATATTTTAAAGATAGAAGAGAGATTGGTTTTATTTGATGTAAAATGATTATTATCAGCAATAAGCCAAAATGTCAAATGAAAAGGTAAATATTTCTGGTATCATATTAGTTGTGAATGATTACAGGAATAATCACATTTTACTTTAGTCTATAAACCATAAGAGACCTATCACTAGATTCTCAATCAGACTTTCCCAACCCAGTCTACTCTGAAGGTCATAGTGATTAGTAAACTTCAAAAGCTGCAGAAAATGCTCAAAATATAGCAGTTTTTAGCAATTAAATCCCATATTGGGATTCTAAGATTTAAATATGATAATTGAACCTTGATTCCTGATAAAATTATAATTATATAGGTATTTTTTGCTTCAAAAGCAAAATATTTTGAGTAAAATATTCTCTCTCCAGATTTTGGCAATGAGCATTTTTTTCAGTAAAGAAACAGAGAAAGCTACATGGTCCTCTAGAACCCATGCTCTCCAAATAATCCTGCATATGACCAGATACTATATTAAATGCAGACATATAGTAAAATGACCAACTGTAACCATCCAATCAATTAAATTTTATTCCTGCAAAATTTTCTTGTTCCTTCTCCCATTTCACTGGGGAGTCAAATTTAAAATACATCTTTGGAACAGCCAGACACCTACTTGAAATACCAAAAAGAGTATCTGAAGAATTGCTCAAACAAATCTACTCTCTTTACCTGTATTAATAATATAACGAATGGATCCAGGGCCTAATGTATCATACAGGGGAACCACAACCATGGAATAGGTATAGCAAGCCAGCTCAGAAATGATCCACTGGAAGAAGATGATAAAAGATATAAACAGGAAGAAATGTGAATATAATGAGAGTCTGGAAATAAGACTCAATTTCCTGCAGTCTCACCTCTGGCCGGTTTTGTGCAAAGACCCCAATAAATTGGTTTGCTGATGATTTGCATCCTTTTTGGAGTAAACCTGACCCCAGTGCTTCTGCTCTTTCAGCAACCTGAAAGTGGAAGTAAAGCGCTTTAAAATGCCAGGTGAAATTCAGTGGGACATTTCCACAAGCAATTTATCCACCCTCTTTCAATTTTCCTCAAAATCAAGAATTGTAATATCAATTCATTTAGTTGTCGTCTAACCTCAGGGCAGTCCCAGGCTTACTCACCCCTGAAGAGAGAGCCCTGCCCCACTTACTTCCAGTTACTTCATTGCCCTATTTTTCCAGGGGAATGCCAACTCCTAGAAAAGGATTCAGAAATGGACAATATAACAGTATGCTCTGTTACTGCAGGCACGGTCCCCTTGAAAAGGTGCTTCTTACAAGCTAAGCAATAGATGGGATTTGTCCCAAACTGTATACGCTATTTTGGGTATTCCTGGAGTAGATTTTGAGTATCTTGGTGGTGGGGAAGGCACATCAGCAGCCCTTATAATGTTTTGTCCTATTAGAATAATCATCTCTAACCAGGTAAGTATCTTCCTTAGCTAACCAGATCAGGGTGCACTAAAAAAAAAAAAATTCAAATTACGATTCCATTTTTACTGTTGTTCCATTAAGAGAAAAAGTAACATTATCAATCTCACCTCTTTATAGGACAACCACTGATAAGGCTGTTTAGATTTCCTGAATCCTAAGCAGGGACCATTTTCTAGAGAAAAACAGACATCAGGAGCAGTAAGTGTGATAATCCATTTTCAAAGCTGCTTAATAATGCATTTCCTGATGACCTATGTATATCTCAGCAGGACAGCATGTTTAAAAATAAACTAGTGCTATTACTGACAGTGTGCAGTGTCAGCAATCCAAGAGTTTATATCAAGGATCATCAAACACAAAGGACAGTTATCTTGACTAATGGGATTTCATTTTTTTTAAGTTCCAGCAAGGACCAGTTTATTTTTAAAGTGAGACCCTGACATGACATGAAGCCCACATGGTCCCTTAACATGATGTTATTTCTAGAATACTACAATTTAATGAGTTAATCAGAATTGGCTTCCATTCTAAATAATATTCCATTGGTTTGGTGTGTCCTGTGACATAAGCAATAGAAGTGGAAGAAAAATCACCATCGTTGGAATAGGAGCCAACTGTTAGCCAATAAGTTATGCAGAAAGGGAGAGCATTCTGAGATACAGTGATGAGGATAATCAGATTTATCCAAAAATTGTCACCATATCAGGAGATCAGAAGCTGGGAGGCAGGGTGAGGTAGGCATCTTTTCCAGCCTGTGCACAGAATGGCCAATGCAACTGTTTGTTACAAATAAAGAGTTCTCCATCTGACAAAAACCTCAAGACTGCCAGAGGAAGTAACTGGGATTTAACATAATGGTTAGCATCCAGCTATGATACATGACTGCTTGGAGGTGGGGGTAGACTTCTATCTGCACGCCCATCTGGATGTAGTATTTGAAAGAGGATCCAGAGAAGGATCCAGAGAAGATTTGGAAATAAATGGGAGCAAGAGGGAAGATCCCAGCATTCTGATCGATTCTATTTGATACCTGCCAAACAAAGAGATAGGTGGTTTTAATGGCATGTGGGAATGACCTTGGTAGACAGGAGGAAGAGCTGCAGACTGGACAACCGTCATGTAAAAGATATCTCAGTCCACAGAAGGAGGGGGGCATGGGAAGCATTTCAGAAGGGACTCTCTCTAGTTTTCCGGAGAGTAAAAGGAGAGGAGGGGAGAAATACTTTCAGTCTTGCACGATTCTGTTAATGTAAACTTGCAATAAGGATAGAGTACTTACTCTATCATAGTTGTGTTTTTTTATCTAGACTACAAACTCATAGTTGTGTTTTTTATCTAGACTACCTTGAAGGGCTAACAGTGGTGGGACAAAAGAGGCACAAAGTAGAATGCTACACAGTACTCCTTCTTAGCATGGCAATGGATTTGACATACCACAGAATAGCAAGATAAACTCCATTCTCAAGATTTCAGAGTTGGTGCAACTATAAGGGAGGTTGGCATTCTGAGCAGGAACAGTATTACTATTCCCAATGTGTTTTATTATATAAAGCTCCAAATGTCCACTTTTTTTATAAGTAAACGAAGGGAAGTTTTAACAGAAACCTTTGACCTGAACAGATGAGGTTTCAAGGTCAAGAACATTTTGGAGTTATCTATCTTAGACCATAGTTCCCACCTTTTTCTAATATTAACTTGTAGGAAAATGCCAGCCATGATCCTCTGAGGATCTTCTTGCCTCCTGGTATTTGGAATTACTCTGTTTATCATCCTTTGTTGCTCTATCTTCTACTTGCAGTCTTACCTCCAGCCAACCTACAGTAAAGCACTTGATGTAGTTCCGCTGAATATGAATTGTTTTCTATTGTCAGTCATGAGAAAAGCTGAGTATATTACACACATTAGTCAAATTTTTAACATTTCAGGTACTTATAATGTCTACATTTTTTTTGCTTTACTATTTTGAGGCTGAGCTATGGTGACTATGACATACAAAACTTATAAGGAATGACAGAATAGAATACAATTCTAAAATATCACACCATTCCTTGGAAGAGGTGTGGTGGGTGAGTACCAGGGAAGGACATTTCAATGGTAACATGCTACTTACTTAGTTACATAATTACTTAATAACCTCTTTCAAAAAAGTTTGCCTAGCATTTTTTTTAGTTGCCAGGACTTTACACTTTTGTCTTTAATGATTTATATAGCTGAGGACTACTTGAAAGAGTTTTGATACATTGAACCTTTGAATCTGCTATGGAAGCCACTGTGGGATTTTTTTTCTTCTTTTTCTGGAGATTCTTGTATTTAATTTCTGTGGTGGAACTGTAACTACATGGGGCTGACCTTGAAGACCATTTAAAAGTGACAGCCAGTCAGGAATGTGGTAGCTCAAGTAGTTATAACAGCATCATAGTTCATCATATAACACCACTACTTCAAGAGCTGCCAGTTAGTTTCCAGGTACAGTCCAAACGTTGGCAGTCATCTTTGAAGTACTTCAGTGCCTGCGCATCTGCGGGAGTACCTACTCCTGATTCAATCTGCCTGTCCGAAAAAATCAGGAAAAGTAGGCTCCCTTCAGGTTCCTTCTCCCAGGGACCATACAGGAATCCTCCTTGATTGTTGCTCCCCCTTCTGTGGAACAGCATCCCCCTTGAGACCTGGACGGTTCCAATCCTGTGGCAATTCATGAAAGCCATTGCAACTGTTGCAGCAGGCCGTGGGGGTGAGACACAATGAAGCTGCTTCCTTTTGCAGTGGGTGCTTGGGAAATATAGTTTTATACTCCTTGGTATATAAGTTCATTTTTTATGTCAGAAGGAGTGGTCTTTTCCAAGTAACCAATTTTATTAAAAGGCACAAGCTTTTGTCAGCGACGGCTCCCTTCATCAGATGTATAAAATGTGTTAGTTGGAAAAGGTGCTACCAGACTTCTGATTTTTGGCTACCATAGGCTAACACAGCTCTCCTCCTACAATTTTAATGCATAATTGTTACTTATGAATTTGATTTACAGATGGTACATAAAGTACATAAGCTGCTCACAGTCAGCACGGTTTGGAGTGGATAG